GATATGTAGTTCAATGAGGGGGTTATGGTTGCAAAACTTATGGAGGGTATAACCTACTCCCAAGTACATTGAGAAATTAAGTATAAGGGCAAGAAGAACAAAATACTTAAAGAAATTAAAATGTGAAGATAATTTTAATCAAAAAATAAAAAATATTAAAAAAAACTCATTTTTGGAAAAAAAAAAAATTTTGGGAAATAAATTTAATTTGTGAAAAAAAGATACCTACTTGATATTTGTCTTGATATCAAAATATACACGATTTTTGGAAAAAATGAAAAATTTGGAAAAAATGAAAATTTTGAAAATATGAAAATTTGTGAAAAACTGAAAAAAATTGAAAATGAATTTTTTTGGAAAACATGTAAAAAAATTTAATATACCCTGATATCATCCCTCTAATCCTGAATATCTTGAAAAGAGGATATATATCGAATGTATCGTATATATGGTGTGTATATCGCTCTATATCTTGGAAAGAGGATATATATCGAATATATCATGTATATCATGTTTGAAAAATATAAGAACTGATTTAACAAAATTGTAAACTGGGAATATACGAGGGGTGATCCAAAAGTCTTGGACGCCCTGCTCTATTTTTGTTGGTTTTTGATAAAATTACTCCAAACTTTCCAATATTAAAGACCAACAACCTAACTACTTTGTGTACTAATTTCATGGAGAAATGATATATTTTATTTAGTTTTCTAGATAGTTTTTAATACAGGTACCCTGCCACCCGGAACGGTATTCGCACATGTCAACTTTCAGCCTTAAATGTTACAGCCATTTCACTTGTTTCGCAAGTCTTGACCACTATATTTCTTTGAATTTTGAATGTTAAACCACGTTAGTTTACTTCCTTTGTTACTAGGCAACCAATTAATTGTGTTTTAATTATAATGTCACATATGACAATGGCTGTACGTGTCAAATTCTAAGAAAATGCCATCAGACAAGCAACCCTCAATCTGGCATCATTTTTGCTGCAAGATGGCTGCTGAAATGCAGAATACGAAAAAAATCAAAGTTGAACAAAGAATACTAAAAGATATTTTCACTATTATTGACCTTGAGCAGCTACCTTATGCACGATACAGTCTATATATGGCTCTGTGTGATTTCCTTCCTTTTCTCCAAGTTGAAAGGAGGGTTGAAAGAAAATGTTTTTTACTCATTGAATGAGGTTTAGAGTAGCACTCTAGCAGCATTTGTATCACATAAGCAATGGCGGTTTCATAAATGTCTTCCATTCATTGGTAAAGTGGTATGAAAAATGTGTTCAAATTCGCGGAAAATATGTTGAAAAGTAGGTCTTAATATGTGAAAATGATGATGGCAGATGACACTCAGATTGAAAATCGAAAATTCTCTCATATCATGGCTGGTGTTAGGTTGTGCGCCTGCACCTAAAGTATTTGCCATATTATAACAGTTTTGACGTGATTTGCTATATTTAAATACCGTTCCGGGTGGCAGGGACCCGGTATTAGAAGATATTTAAAAAAGTAGCTAAAATAAATTATTTTCTGTTGAAACTTATACATAAAGTTGTTAAGATGTTGATCTTTATTATCTGAAAGTTTCATGTAATTATATTAAAAAATAGCAAAGATAGTGCGGGGCGTCCAAGACTTTTGGATCACCCCTCGTATATCCGATATATCTTGAAGACAGGATATATATCGAATACCCTATTTTTCAAGCACGATATACACGATATATTCGATATATATCCCCTTTCCTAGATATAGAGCGATACACACGCGATATATACCCTAAAATCTATATATATCCTGTCTTCAAGATATATATCGGATATATATCTTCAATACAGAGGTTTGTTAAAAAAAGTTCTTATATTAATGGATGACGATATACACGATATATTCGATATATATCCTCTTTCCAAGATATAGAGCGATATACACATGATAACGATATACACGATATATATCCTCTTTCCTAGATATAGAGCGATACACACACGATATATACGCTATACTCGATATATATCCTGTCTTCAAGATATATATTAGATATATATCTTCAATACAGAGGTTTGTTAAAAAGTTCTTATATTTATGGATGACGATATACACGATATACACGATATATTCGATATTTATCCTACCCCAGAGATATATATCGGATATATTTCGATTTGAGGATGGGGAGAGATAGTTTCACGAATATATCGTCTGAGAGACGATATATATCGCTATACGACGATATAGCCATTCCTGCACCTTTATGGTTTTTCCACTGATCAATTAGTCTACAAGACGGTTTAAGATTTCAATCTTTTGAGTGAATGATTGATGTATTCTTCTGCGAAGAAATGAGATAACAAGTATCAGAAATGTAACACTGGTAGTTTTCTCTAAAGTCGCCTTTATTTTTTATATTACTATTGTTTTTAACCCCCCCCCCCTCCACCTATCTTCAATTATTAGGGTATTTCATATGACTATGCGCTGGTACAACAGTAAATGGGCTTCATGAGTTATCATGGCCTTCTATCATGAGTGTCTTTTTTGTTGGAAAAACAGAAAGATGTGATGCGTATCAGAAAGGTACACGAGCGTCTCACCCGGGCGTCCCACATCTCTTACATGAAATGGTATTTTATTTGTCATCCCAATCTTTTTTTCTTCAACGAGTACAAACTGGAGAGAGATGTTCTTAGGGGACAAAACTCTAACTATGACCAAGCATCAATATTTCTCACGGTTTATAGGGGTTAACATTTTAACACTATTAGCCCACCCCTACCACACCACGTTCTTAACGCTAAGATTGCAATATTTGCTAACATTAATTAGTGATTAGATATCATACTTAATTAGCTAAATCAATAGATATCTACTAATCCCATTGTCACCTGAAGCAGAGACATATAAAATATGTTTATTTATGTAATTATTTGTCTCTGCCTGAAGTAAACCCCTTTGGAACAATTCATTGAGGAAATAACATCACATGTTTCAATCTGTTTCATTATGTCCAAAAACATGTGCGAGATTTTGGTTGTACGTAAATTATGTTAATTTTTATCACTTATAGGGTACGGTTCAGGAAATACTAATTGAAAGCTTGAAAGGGATGATTTTTGAGTCGGGTATGTTTCCTATCATTTAGCAACTAACAGGTGCAAATTTTTCGAGGTCTTTGATGCTGAACAAACTTGATAATGAACTATAAATCTTCACAAGATTCTTTGTTTTGACAATTACTATTCCTAAAATTTCATATGTATTCTCTGGCTTGTTTTTTGTGGCTATCAATGCCATTTACTATTCGTCAGATGTCTTCAATGTGTTGCATTTCTTACGAAAAAACTGTAGAATACTCCGTTCAAGGCCAAATTCCGAACGTCTTGGTTTCATCGTCTAAATAACAACGCATCTATCTCTCAAGAATGATAGACTGACAGATGGATGGCCATATTATTGTGGTACTAAGCTGTGAAGAATAGTTTCAGCCTCTAAGAAAGAGAGGGTCTGATATATCAGTGTAAAATATGGCCATATTCTTTACTTTGATCTTTACTTACTAGGCTTCCCTTACAATCTAAATCGTGTTTGATCTTACATACCCTGAATCCTCAACCGACAACCACACCAGCCCAGCCCTCTGACTAGCACAGATAATCTAACATTGTTGCCAACTAGATTTTAATCGAATCTAGCTTTCATTTACCTCAAGCATTATGTTGGATAATTTGACAATGCTTTTTGAATTTGATATGAATTACCCTGAGACATGATTGTCTTTGTAATTATCACTGACCCCTGGACTTTCAATCTGGTCTTTCAATCTTTCAAATAGATACAAATTAGACCAACGAATCATTTTCTTTTTTTAGGAGTGACGGAGCTCGAAACGGAGTCAGCATTTGCAAGGGTAGTTTGATGGTCGTAAAGACAATACAACCGACGTGTACACAAAACGCAATTCATATTTGTGTTTGTTGATGGACTAAAACATTTCAACTCGTGTAAAGAGTGACACATTAGAACTCAGAATATTGCTTTAATCAAAGCATCTCCAAAAATATAACTAGGAATCTCTCTTTTAACAAGGTCTCTTAAATTAAGGATGCAGACCGGGTCAATTTCAATCATATTGTTATTGAACACTTGTCCACGCGTCTCCAGAAGTAAATGCATATAGTATATTGCTCCCCTTTCTCCCACTCATTCTTAAATAATTAGGCACTGACTTTCCAGTCACTCGTGCATAATCACCATGGTAATTTTTAGAGTGGTCGTATCTAAAAAGTGAAGTCTGGGAACTAAGGGGGTCAGAGGCTTGATGGGAAGGATGCTAAGTTTGACGGACACACGTAAACACCCAGGCCATATATATATCGACCAATACTTTCAAAACCAAAGGATTGCACAATGCAAAATCTCCCTTGAATATTCTAACTTGACTCTAATCGGTATTATGATTTCCAAAAGAAATGCAATCTACATGTAGGTTCATTGCACAAGGCGTGTATACAAACACCCCAAAGTAGATGAAACGGATAAATCAAAAAGCCCATCAGTCATAGATAATGACATTTGTGCATACATGCGATGACTTACTGGCTTCACTCGCTCTATATTTATATTCAGTCGCATTAATAATGTTCTTGGGTTCGTTGATTTCAATGAAGTCTACTTCACCTTTGAGTGCAGCATACTATACCTTACCCCTAAATTACAATAATTTATAAAAAATAACTTGATTTAAATAAGGTGGAATGATCGATACGATCAAAAAAGAATTTCGTGAACTACATAAAAGATTAAGAATTGAAAATCACCATTCCCAATTCCCAAGTCAACCCCTGTATAGTGTAAAATTCATCACACCTGTTGAAAAAGTCTTTACAGTTTACAATAAAATAGATCAAGTATTGTGTACTTCCGTATGGTATTGTGTCACAGTAGACCTCGGCATGTTCAGTGCAAATAAATTACAGACAAAAATGTGTGTATACTTACAAAAATACTGGAATGAACATCGTCGAAGAATACAATTTCAGTTTCTAAGTGTATTTCATTGGAACTAGTGTCATCTGATTGCTCTAGAGCTGTATCATTTGAGCTTGGGCCATAGGGGTAGAATAACCCCCTGGGGATGGCCCCTACCCCCAGGCATAATCCTAATACGAGAAAAAGCTTCATTGTTCCTACTGGGCGGCTAAGTCCAGCGTCCAACCACTACGGAATGATCTCGTAAGTCCGATAAGGGCCGGTAAGTCCACTCGAGATGGAATCCTTATTATGAGATCGCCAACTAGCGCCTGAACTGCCTATACGGCTATAAAACGTCTAGTTCTATGTTTTGAAGTGGTAAATATCTATATAGTATTTGTTAACCTCTCAAGATATGTAAGGTGACAATAGAACTGGTTCAGCATATACGGCCTGGGATCTCAGACCCTCAAAGACTTATCTTTGTTACGCTATCTCTATTGCCGGACTATCTTCACTCACTGATTTATGCAACTGACCCTTCCTAACTATAAGTCTATCATTGATTTCTCTGGAATACCTCAGGTCTGATCTTGTGATCTGGCTTACGATCTTTGACCTGTCTGTAAGGTCGCTTAGAGCCTTTCTGTAACTTTATTCAATTCCGCGCATTTTTCTCGCTTTGTGTTGTTTTCAGTGATGCAATAATACGATCCTCAAGGCAAAGGGCGTTGGTCGGTTCCTTTCACGTTGATTCTTGAACGTTTTTAAAGGTATCACTATCACAGTTCATTTCCCAATGGTCTGGTAGGTATCGTTGATTAATGACTAGTTTGGCAAGACTAATTCTACATAAAGTTCCCTCAAACTTTTTGTAGCTTCCTCTATTAAACTTTATGATTCACTGATGCATCGATTGCTTCTGGTTGTCGGTCCAAGCGGTCAGCTTGAAATCCTTCCCGGGGAGTGTTTATGATGAGCTAAAAGCTTGAGTAAGTGATATTCAATTATCTGATGTCAGCTAGCCGTCTGGATTCAAAGTTGAAGTAGATTGAAGCCATTATTCTGAAAGAAAGAAGCCACAATTTCCTTGAAACTATTAGCGGTCCTATCCGTTTCCCTGGTATTTCTTATATTTACCCTTGACACTTACCTATTGACCTATCCTTGTCTCCCGCAATCAACCGGTGTTTAATGGGATTTCACGATATTGGGATACAAGGGTGTCAGGATACTGGGATAAATAAACATCACACTTAAAAAGTAAATGTACAATGAAACGTGTATTTAACGTAATATAAAATAAAAAATATGGATTTAAAATCGGGAAATGTAATTTTATTTGTAAATCCAGTATCCATATTTCAAAAATGCCCATGCTTGTTTTTTATTTTTAATTTTACACACGTTTTTTATTTTTATCGATATAGATCCCTGGGGTTCAGACTAAAAGAATCTGAGGCGACATTTGTGGTTTTATTCTACTTTTTAAAGATTGAAAAGTCACAAACAGGAAGGTAACAGATCGATCTTTTTAATGAGACTTTAATTAGTCTTTGATTGGGAATCTCAGACGGACCATCCTCTAACGAAATGGATCTGGCATATCATAGCGAAACAAAATGAGAAACTGAGCTGAACAAATTATAAGTTTTACACGTGAAAAGTTACTCTCAATTTAGCAAGCCCTCGTTACCCTTGCATTCGTTTGACTTCGCTTCTTAAAAGAGAGCTTCGTCTTCGGGTAGTTTATAACTAGACTCTGGGTCTGCCCTCGTGCCCCATCCCTTCCCTACATACCAAATCTACAATGTAAAGTAAATAGGGACTCGTATCAAGGGTTATCATGACGTTTCATTTCTTTTTGGTGCCGTAGATTTCCTAAGAAAGTGCCATTGTGTCTGTGGAAAGGCTCGGATCATTATAGATTGCTCGTAGAAGTTTGTTATTCCACATACTAGACATGGAAGTAACGTAGTAAAAAGAAGTGATTTTTCCACATGCATGACATAAACAGCCACACGCTCCTTTTTTGTGATTTTTCTGCATTTCTTTTGTCAAACATACTGTAGTACAATTTATAGTAGGCATATGATACACTTCCCTAGGTTAAGGTGAGAATAGATAGCTGAAAACAACAGAACGCATGTTGATTATAGATATTGATCTTGAGTCCCGTGGAAATGCCGGAAAACAACATTCTTCACATATTTCTGTTTTACAGCTTGCAAGGAAGGGATGAACGCTTTTGCATTGCTTTTGACCCCTCGCGGGTGAGAATCGACTCAGTCATGTATTTTCTCAATGGTAACTGAGTTAGACCCAGACATATTTCAATGCATTGATTGGACGCGTTATCAGACATCCAAAGCAAACTAACACGATTTGTATTTTGAACAAACAAAGCTGAAACAGACTCACAGAGGTCAATCAGTGCAGTTTCTAATTCTCTGTAGGAGGGGAATGGACATTAAGCATATTTGATCTTGGCAGCGAATCTTTTTACTGAAAAACTGTTTATCTCTTCTTAATTCAGAAACAGCATGGACCAGAATGTTTTTGACCGATGGAGGGCAAATTTTTGCTTCAATATTGAAGAACTACCACTCGGATAACTTTTTCACCAATAATGATTAACTTGCAAACAAAAGTTTAGGCCCAGATTTTTTTAGAAAAAAATAAATCTCTCGATGATCCAATGGTTGCGCCATAATGCTAAATAGCAGTTAAATTGCAGACTGGGGCAATATGTGGTTAGGTCCTTATAAAAATAACTTAATAGAAATTTTAACATAAGAGTAAAATCAAACAAACATCTGGTAAATTCATAGGTAAATTATAAGTTTTTATAGACTTTATACAATATGAGTCTAAGAGCTAAAAGCTCATTCAGTCAAAATACAATTCAGACAAAACACGGTGTCAAATGTTTGAACCTTCTTTTCACATGTTGAACTGTCGTATTTATATTTTATATGCAGGGTTATAGACCTACACTCCCCTCCATAAGTTTAGAAACCGGAAGTGATAATTTGATAGCGTGTTTTAAATTTTGGAAACCTTTTTATGCTCGAATAAAACTAGTCCGAATATAATGAAAATTTCATTCCCTGTATTAATGGGATTTAAAATTTCACACGTAAATAGGCGTCAACACAAATGGGGATTTCCGGATGTCAAACTTTTTGTGGGGGGTGTAGGGTTAAACATATCCCCTTCTAACTTCGATGAATGAGTTAGAACTTGTTTGCCCTCGTTACGTAGAATTATTAACTCATTTTATAGGTAGTTATTGTTTTTATTTTCATATTAAACTCATACAAACATATAACATAAATTGTGAAGGGCCTGGGATAGGCACATTATTGGCCCTGTCATAACTCATGTTTAACTCGCCAGTGCAATATATTGTAGTACAGTAAAACCTGTATGGAGTGAACACTGCTGGATCCAACTTGTGATCGCATTGAGTAAAAGATGGAAGCACAAGTACCAAAAGGGGAGAGAAAATGTCTTACCATTGAACACAATTAGAAAGTATACTTCAGTAGGTTAATCCGGTAGCCGACAGCCGAAAGTTGCATTCCGGCGAATATACGCGAACTCGCTGCCTCATCATTCAGGGACTCTTCAGAGAATTGTTTTCAATTGAAGAATACACGAGGATACACGAGTGAGTTTACAATAAGAGGTGTCCACTCAAGTTTAGAACGTTAAGAGAGGTGTTCAATGTACTAAATCCAGGCTGTTGCATATGTACAGAATTCTAATTAGTCTTGCATCAAATCCTTGTACCCCCCTCCATTTATGTTTATGAGCAGTGTGTATATCAATTGGAGGGGTGAACACAGTGCGATATAACAGTCATGGTCTCTGCAGTCACCGTCTAATATATTTCCCTACATGTGTGGATTGTAGGTGTGCACACTGCATCCAAAACTTAAATGATTTAAATAAAGATGTCGCCTACGTAATTACATTCACCAACATACACAGAACATATCGTGCAATTTTACCTCTATATTGGGCGCAATGTATTAGAAGTACTCACATGGAATTTAAAAAAATAAAAATTTCTTTGAATGTTTTGTGTCTCATATTTTTTGAAAATTAACAAACTTTTGGTTGTCCATTGGTTTCTGGCTTAGGCCACAAGAAGCGGATTCTTTGTTTTACGTCCTTTTAACTTGTATAATTAAAACATCCATAAATTTCTAAGGAACTAAAAGGACTTTAAAGATGTCATTGTCAGAATGTGCATTTTATGTCTATTACATTTGATATAAAGTGTATGCCAGTGCATACCTTTTAATACAAACATGTGTATTGTGCATTTTCAATCTATTCAGATTTAAAGTGCTGCCATCTTTACAACACTGCAGTGTTGAAATACCTCTTGATGCTCTATTTCTCAGCAATAAGAATTGAAAACTATTAATTATCCTATAACTTTATTTCTCTACTTATCTTAACAATAATTGAGCAAAAACATTAGTTAGTCAATTCTAACAAAATTAATAAAAAATCAGACTACAACACCATGACAACATTTTTTGTGGTACATGTGCTCTAAAATAGTGACCTGTATATCAGTGAATGCTGCTCAAACTGACTTTAATGTTTACAAGTGGAGGTTGTAATAATATGAGACTCAAATATACAGGGGGTCCATAAAGGCTCTTTACACTTAGAATACAAAGTCTGTATAATGTGAAAATGGACTTTATTGGAACCCTGTAATTTACAGAAATTAAAGCACAAAGTATTTTCATTTTCAGCTGAGAGTGTTCATATTTTGATGTGTTCACATTTTGAGGTGTTCATATTCAAGGGCATTCAGATTGTGAGGTGCTTATGGCATGATCACCACTGCCATAAATCTGGTCAGCAATGTGACAGAAAGTGTTCACATATTCAGAGAGGTCTTTTCATAAACAAGTTTTATTGCATTCGTAAAGCCGTTACAGAGGTTTTACTTCATTTTATAATTTAAGTCAATCAAATATTGAGCTTTTCACACTTGCTGTATACCTTTTGATATTCGTGGATTACACAGTCAAACATGGTGTACTTTTTAAGGTAAGTCCTGATGTACATTTTATAATGCATTATCTTCTTTGAACTTTATGCTATATTTTACTAAAAATAAATAAATGTTCAACAAAATAATCCTTTGACAATCATTTTTAAATTATTCAATGTTTTTCCATATGGTATGGTGTCCACATTTCAAAAGTTGTGACTTAAACCCTCTCAAAACAATAACAAATTTTGAAATGTTGATTTGTCTTTTGCAAATTCTTTTTAAAGAAGAGAGTACCAATCACTTGATTTCATGTTAGTAATACAATTAATCTAAATGTAGCAATTAGTGAACACTTATAATAGGTCACTATTTACACTTCAAACATATCCTTTGTTATCCAAGAACAAATGCATACTGTAAATTGCTTTAATATGATGGTGGATGGTGGTTTTAATTTTGCGGATTGATAAAAATGCCAATTTAAGTCTCTGCCGATTTTTTGAAAATGAAATTCTATCGGATTTTCTTCCGGTGCCTTTTCCATGTGTTACCTTGCACGATAATATTTATGAAAGTCTTGATTGAAACATTGATAAAATGTCAATTTTACACTATTTCTGAAAATCTACAAAGTCCCTGCTGGTTTAGAAAAAACAATCTTGATACCAGGAAAGATAAAACTGCATTACCAGTGGCGAAATGTGGAGTGAGTAACACGAATGATGATGGTCAATCTGAAAATAGCAGCCCAATCCGTAAAATTAAATAGCGCCAAATTAAGGCAATTTACCATATTCATAAAGTGCAGTCTACCCTACAATATCATGAGCAAAAAACAATGTGTTGACTAAAACAGCAAATACTGCGCTGTATTCATACAACTGATACCGATTCAAACATGCATCTTCTATACTAATATACTATTTCAAGAGAAATTATCTATTTTGAACAATGATCTGATAAATGAATAATTAAAATGTAATTTGTGGCAATATTAAATGCAATTAGATTGAATTTTCAATAATACTATCCCCATTTTTGCAAAAATACTTGCCATTATCTACCTTAAAATGTGTAAGACCATTGAAGAGTCTATTTTTCTAACACTGACATTATGACCTTTTATTTATTTTTCCCAGATGCTCATAAACTCTATTCCCATAGAGTGGATGGTCAATAAGGGATTAAGAAACCTAGTTACCCCTTTATTTAACTAATATTCATTTTTTTAAGTTAACAGCCACAAGGGTTTCCACATTTCATTTTATTTTGCCACATATTCGTCAACTGCTGGGGACTGAGTTCTGGCATATTGTACATATCTGGTTCACATGTTCTATTATCACACTGCCAGTGAGCGTCAGCTATAAACTGCGGCCCAAGGGCAGCCAACCAAATCCCCAGGGAGACATCCTCACCCTGATACACCTGTAGATTTTCTTCATTATCCGCAAGCCAATATACCAAATCTGATGATAGAACATTCCCGGCTCCGCAACCAAATGTCGGGTATGATGATGACGTATATAATCTTTCCGACCATTTTCCATGACGTTCAACATACCAATTGCGTCTAAATTGTCCCCACCATTGTTTAGAGCCTCCCTCGTCTAAAATCAGTCTACTTCTTTCAACAATATTTTCAAGATTAAGATAGCAATCATCATCTGTTTTTAGCGTGTAATTAAACATATACCGCTGAGTCATCCACGTGTAGAACTTCAATAACTTTAGAGGTAAATTCCTGTATGTATCAATCACATTAACCAGGACCATATCATTTTTTTCAATGAATTCCTCTGTGACTTTGATGTTTTCTAGTTCCATGCTCTCCCCCCATTCGAAAGCTCTAAGTTTTTTACCAGCTATATGTAGCTTAAGAGCACCAGGTTCATAGACTTTGAACATGAAGGATACAACTGGTGAGGTTTGATTGGTCTGAAATATATCACTCGCGTATAGACTGATAATGCCACTGCCATTATAAAGCTTGATGTTGAAATTGTCAATGTTAAAGCCAGTTGTTGTATTGGTGCTGTTAGTAATTTCAGAATCAAGAATTTCACCAATGATTGTCCCCTCAAAGTGCTTAGGGAGTAAATAATTCTCTACTGCCCTGTATCGGAACCCTTCTTGTGGGAGCCCTGGCTGGGAGTCACTAAATACAGCACTTGCTATAGTTTCACCATTTAGTGAGTCCACTAATTTCACCTTATAGTTCAAATGCATAGTATCACCAGCTAAAAGGCCTATTTTTGTAATCACTATTGGGTGATGTACTTTAAATGTTAATTGTTCAATAGCGGTGACTTGTTTAATACTTGGAGAAGTGTTATCAACTTTGGCAACTGTGATGTCATTTTCCCAATCTGAGACCTGAACGTCCCATCTTTCACAAGAATATGGGTCTAATCTGTCCTCAGGAGGTATATGGCACGCTTTCTTACCCAGAACAAATTTGACTACGACTTTATTGCTTATGTTAGCTTGCGTTTGTGAATGCGCCAACCATGTATCCCGTATAGCTTGTCTCTGTTTGTAGTGATTGCGGGCGGACATGACACCAACGATAATATGATAATGAGGCACTTCTTTATGATCCTCATACTGCAGGATAACATAGTACATCAATATGGCAATCAATGCAAAGAATACACCCAGAAACAGCTGACACATTTTAGTAGGTAACGAAAAACTTCTCTAGAAAATGTTGTTGTATGCTGTTACAGTCTAACTGAAATAACAAAAGAATATTTAAATGACCAATACATAACAAATTTTCATTTACTTCTCAATGCAAACATGGTATCAACATCTAATTGAATTCTAAATACCAGCGAGTCCGATTTTACAGAAAACAAAATATTTCATGTAAGCATGCACCATTATAATATCTACCTGTCTGAATAAACTATATTGTGTATCTAATTCTTTCCTGCGAGGTCACTGGGGGTTGTGAGATCACTGATTGTTTCCTTGTTAGATGAGACTTTCTTGAAACCACTGAACTTTATGTGCTGTATTTCTTCATCCTCTTTTTTCATCATTTTCAAATATTTTTGTGCTGGAATAATGATACGGAAATAAATTAATTTAAAAGTATCTCATGAAAAGCCATGAACCCAAAATGTAACATTTTACATAATGCATCAAGCATATCAAAGCCTAAATGTTAAAATCAGCTTCAAGTGTGGTGATTATCATTTTGAAGATCAATGGCATTGACATTAAGTTAGTGCAAATAAAACAACAATAGGGATTTATACTGTTTCAATTGGAGTAAGCCACAGTGAACACCATTTATTCTGTAACTGATAAGTTAGATAAGTAAGATATATGCATCATTCTGAATAAAAGTCAATTTATACAATATGAATGTCAAAATAATTTCGCAGTAACTTTGAACGATTAGCAGATGATCTTTATTCTCAAAAAGTAAGGCTCATGTTATACCAAGAAACACCCATGGTCTTCGCTACAGCCATAGAGTAGAAAGGATAAATATGTTATTCCGTGCCAGGACTTTAGTCCTGAGAATGGTCCAATATTTTGCCTGTACGCTTACAATATGGGAGAACAATCCATGCTTCCTACACTTATTACGTTAATACTGTAAAACGGGTAATTTTGACACCAGGAAATTTTAGCGATTTTTCAATTTTAGGGGGTTTTAGCGCGGGAAATTGAAGCGAAATGAAGATTAATCTTTAAAAAATCAAATTAGCGAAATGCATTAGAAATTTTATCATTTATGGCAGAAGAATGAATAACGGACATGACAGAGGAATTATCAAAATGTAAGACTTCTACCGCAAATGGTATTGGTCCAAAATAATTACCTTTTTCAAATTACAAACCGGAAGTCGAGCACTGAACGAAAAGCTCCTTAAATACTAGTATTCATGTAGTTTCCCGGGAATTTGCAAATTTTAGCGCCTGGTTTATTTTAGTGAATTGAATTTTTAGCGAAACTATAGCGATCGCTAACAATTGCTAACAATTACCCCTCACTAACAATACCCGTTTTACAGTAACTAACTAATTGTATGGGTTGATCGGCAGAACAAGGAAATTTTTAATCTTGATCACAATTTTTGCATGTTGTTTAGCTTATTTCAATCATCAAAACCCCATCTATTGGCATATCTGTACTCTGCAGTACCAGACGCAGATGTCAATATGGGGATTCCCCTTCTAAAACCTACCGCCATCTTGAAAAGAAGTGCGATCTTTCTTGACGAAAAGGGAAAATGTCCTCGTTCTGAACCCATTTGGGTATTCAACTAATATTGAGATAGGTCATTTAAGTTTGCAAGGCATGGAGAATTCCCCCATGTTGTAATCAGACAGACAACCTATCAAGACGTTCTCAGAGCCACTGTCAGGCACTGAAAAAATCATATGGATATGATAACATTGGATATTTTTATACTTACTCCACGACAGGCCAATCCATGAATCGTCAGTTGGTTGCTTTCTCTTCATATAATCATAAATGCATAGGCCAAATGCATTCCAAGCAACAAAGAAATAAAAAATGTTCAACCTTTGGCCCCACTTTCCAGATTTCAGTGGATTCGACTCTGAATACCTATATCTCTTCATATTTGATAATCTAAGTCAAAAATACACTTTCAAACATGATTTTGTGAACTCTCTCAGTCTCTTTTACTGTGTATTTCAGAAAGAACGTGAAAATTATTAAAAATTTGATTTTTTACCAAACCGGATCCGGAAACGATGATCAAATGTTACATTGGATCTGATTGGTCAATCAATTTATAAACCAATCAGAAAGGCTGTATTGTAGTCCTTTGGCAGCACGCCTATTTCGCTCCAAAAATTAAAAAGAAACTAGAATTGTTTTACTTCTATAAAGTACTTGAATTAAGACAAAATGACTGTATATTTAGACGTAAATAACTCAGCAAATGTTCCAGCCGACACAAAGATACAATTGATGCCATTCGTTATCGAACACAATGATGAGGCCAATGTTGACAAATATTTCAACTCATCTTTAGAGAATGAAGATGGTAAGGCTTCCACTCAGTTAAGGTCTCATGGAAGTTAACAGGAAATGACAAAACAAAAAATGACAAAGCCATGCTGGATTTTGAAAAATTTTTGAACCAAGATAACAGAGTTCTGTTTGGACCTCCAGTCAGTTTAACTAGTTCCACATATCATTTACATGACTGGGAACACAATTGAAATGGTCAGAATGACCATAAACATGATAAAATAACCTTTTCAGCCCTCTGAAAATGTGACTGAAAAATAGCTAAAAGTAGGTGCTCAGGAAAGGTCAATCAACAGAATCTTTTGATTTTTTCAGAAAATGTGTCCAATATATTGCTCTAAATGACACAATCTTTGAAATTTTAAAAAATTGTCTGAAACAAAAATGGCTCTAGTAAAAAGGAAAATAGATCGATTTTCAATTCAGTTTTTTTAAATTTTTTCTTTTTCTTAGAATGATATCAGATTTTTTTAAATTGTATCATTTAGAGCAATATATTAGGCACATTTTCTGAAAAAGTCAAAAGATTCTGTTCAGTGACCTTTCCTGAGCACTGACTCTTAGCTATTTTTTAGTCACATTTTCAGAGGGCTGAAAAGGTTATTCTCTCATGTTTATGGTCATTCTGACCATTTTAATTGTGTTCCCGGTCATGTAAATGATATGTGGAACTAGTTAAACTGACTGGAGGTCCAAACAGAACTCTGTTATCTTGGTTCAAAAAATTTTCAAAATCCAGCATGGCTTTGTCATTTTTTGTTTTGTCATTTCCTGTTAACTTCCATGAGACCTTAAAAAAGGCTGTATCAGAATTATTTTAAGTAAATTATTTTTACTTCAGGTTTTTGGATTTGCTTAATGTTGAGGTATTTACTTTGACGAAGGATACAGTCTAGCATAAGCCACTGTATCCTCTGCAGTTAGCAGAGTTAGTCTCTTGGACTGTTTATTCGCTTTGTGCAAGGGAACACAAGATATTTTATATGACTGAAATGATGTCCTAAGATAATAAGAGCAACATATCAGCTTGTATAACAAATGGCAGGTAGTGACATTTTGCATGATGCCTCGTTACTTCATGCCTTCACCTTTGATTATGCTTAAATTGTTGGTGTAGTTACCTAAGACAAGAGGGCAACATAGCAGCTTGTATGTGTCTTTAAATTTTATTTATTCTGAAGTTTTTTAATTGCAGGTATTCTTGTTGGTTCATTTCGTGGACGTCCACTCCAAGGAAATGTACAGAGTGTTCCAGAGGGATATACAGGTACAGTTCGGGACATAAATAAATGACAGGTGGATTTGCTGAAGTGAGAATTTCCCATGTTAAAAATAAGAGAATTTTCAAGAGGCCATACATCAGTGGATGAGATTATACAAAATGTGAAATATACAAATTTTAAGGGATATGTATCTAGACAATATTGGAAATTATGGGCTTTCAGACGACCATAATTAGGAAATGGTGATCGAAAATCGACCTGTCATTTATTTTTGTACCCAACTCACGAGGGGAAAGAGTACCCGTGTATATACAACCTACCGCCGAGCAAGACACGCACATACCGCCGAGCAAATGTTTGATAATGTCATCTCGTAGGAAAATGGACAATAAAGGTAATATAATGTCACTAACAATTCCTTTGGATGGTTAGAGTTGTTACTAAGATGTTCTAGCAGGCGCAATTGGCCTAGAATTATAGTTGAAATATATTTTTATGTCCAAATCAAGAGATAAGGTAAACGTATAATGGTTTTCGATTTGTTTTTCTCATTCATACTCGCTTTAATTGATAATGAGCCATACATAAGACATACTTGGGTCGGTAAATGGATGTACATATGCATAATATATTAAGTGTCAAAATATTAGGTCAAAATAGCACTTTTGAACAGCAAAATCTTCACTTAAACTTTGTCCTAAAAGATCCGAGGTTATCGGACATCGGACCCGATGTGATCGACGAGTAATATTATAAAGATCCGAAAATATCTTGAGTAAAGGATCTCAGAATCCGAACATTACTTGAGTAAAATCTGTTGAGATCCGATTACATCGTCGAGTTTATGACGTGCTGATGAAAAAATAATAAACATTCAATCTGCATCATTTGTGAATCATTTTGTTGTGAACAATAAATGAAACTGAAAAAAATATGGCTATCACCAGTTACCACTGCACATCGAAACATTGTATTTCAGGTCCTCGGTACAAATGCTTCCACTGTAGTTATAAATCACACGAGATGGATGACTTTGTGGTCCACTTCAGTCAGCACCATCCATTACTGAGTATTAAAGTTAATGTGCCTGAGTTAAATGGCAAAAAATGGATTTACAATGTTTTTGACTATGGTACTGTATTATCAAAGAAAGATCACGGTAATTTTCGTTTCGAGGATGTGAAGCTTGGGATTCTTCAAGTTGTGTTCTTTGAGTAGAATGGCGCTTGCAATGCAGAATTAAATGTTTTTTGGTTGCACTCTTATCATAGACACATAGGAAATTATGGTGATTCAAGTGTAAGCATGAATTCAATGTTTTAAAGAACTTTGCCGGAAACACACGTTGATGTATAGTGCTGCGGGAATTATATCATATATTTTATCCCACGATTAATGTGTTATCTGTACAATAACAGCTATTGATATTTCTGATATTATTGAAATCCGTGTGATATTTTCCAGAAAATCGTTTATCAAACTCATATGCGTGTGATATCGTTTATCTCACGCATATCCGTGTGATATCACATTTGCATTTCGCGCCACAATATTGTTGGAAATTAGGTCAGATAATTTATTCTCTTTTGAGAAAATAGGTCCGTTAATTTATTCTCTTTAAGTTTCATTAGTGTATTGAATAACGATTGTGTATATAATTTGATTAGAAGGCTGCTAACTAACGATTAAAAAATGGTATTTATGACGAACTATATCATGTTATTTACTTTTAATTGTTAAAATAAAGTGTTTCAAATATTCAATTGATATTCTAATTTCTAGATTATATTGTCTGCCGATGTCCTGGAAATTGGATCAGAACATCACAAGGTGGTTGTAATCATGGGATAAACCCAATATCACATAATTTCTCGTGATATAATTTTATCGCCTCGTAGATATCAAATATCAACACTCATTCACTTCGCTCACTCGTGTTGATATTTGATATCAACTCGGCGATAAAAATGATATCACTCAAAATGATGTGATATTCTGTATATATCCCGGTGCCAGGAGTATATGATAAATAAATAAAAAGGAATATTTGTGATATCGTCATGATATTATATGCTCATTCGAAAGCTTACTCACTACCTCATCGGGTTCTACTCATGGTATAGTCGGAATAGCTCGGTGGTAGCTTCGGGTCCTATATAATCGTACTCGTGACATAATCGGGTCTTTCATTTTCAACTTTCACCGGTGATTTCAATGATATGCAACGTATGGCAGTGAAATAAATATGATACATTTACACCTATTGTATCTTTGAATCGAATGAAGTAAAGACAGCCATGGTTGTTACTTATTCAAGATGTAAATCATCATTCAAATATTTAAAAGTTGAATTTAGCGATTGGATAGTAAACATTGCGCTAAGTACTCATTATTTTGCAAACTTGAGTGTCTGGAACAATAACTTTATCAGTTACACACAATTCTGTGTTTTATCTGTTTCTCATATTGAGAAATTCAAGATATAAACAAAAGTTTATAACTCACCCCCTACATTTTCAGACATCTTCGGGTCTTTGCTCGGCGGTAGGTTGTATATACACGGGTACTCTTTCCCCTCGTGCAACTGTAGGAGCAAAACAATCTGTTATAAATTCTATAATGTTATAATACAATTTGGGAATGAGACCCATTTACTTTTTTTTTTGTATTTATGAAAAATGAAGCCATTATTAAGTTCCAACATATTATTTTGGGGGCAATGGTGGGATGTGCTGAGCCCCTAGGCCTCTGAGTTAACCAGTATATTGTGCCAGACTTTGGGATGAGTTTTCTTATAAACAAATGTATAACAGTTTATAAGTGAATCATGCAACCATCTCTCATGATTTCATTTTCCTTATATTCCTTGTAGGGGTCGTTATGAAGGAGAACCATAAACCATTCAATGAAGATGAAGAAAGGACATTTAAAGCTGCTCACACATTTAAAGAATTCACATACTGGAATCTGGACAAACTCCCTGGCTTAAATGATAAAGTGTCAAAACTACCAGAGTGGTTTGAAATTGCCAAACATGTAAGAAGTACTTGTTATTTAAGGAATGTTATTTTCTATGAATAACAAATTTCATTAGAAAGTATAGATACGTACATGTATACCTGCATATTATGGACCTTCAAAATATACATGGATGAAAAATGGTACATTTGACTTTCCCCAACCATTTCACTTATTTCACTTATGAGGTTTTCCACTTAGCATTTTCTACTGTATGTCTTTTTAGCTCACATGGTGAGCTTTTGCAATCACTCACTTGTCCGTCTGTCTGTCCGTCCGTCCGTCCGTCTGTCCGTCCGTCTGTCCGTCCGTCCGTCAACAATAGTGGCACGTTTTAAAACCTCTGTCGATAGGATTCCTGTTTTAAGTTATTTCTGTTCAACATCAATACAGAAAACTCCCCTATGACTCCTGGTTCAAAAGCTCGCCTATTTTCAAAATGGCCGCCACTTTTGTCTCGCGAAATTCACTTTTGACCCATTTGTTTTAAAACCTCTGTCAATAGGATTCCCGTTTTAAGTTATTTCTGTTCAACATCAATACAGAAAACTCCCCTATGACTCCTGGTTCAAAAGCTTGCCTATTTTCAAAATGGCCGTCACTTTTGTCTCGCGAAATTCACTTTTGACCCATTTCCTAGCTTTACAAATAATTTCAGGTGTCCTTCACTGTAAAAATCCATGTCAATGTAAAGGGTAGATATATGTTATAATATTGTTACAAAAAATCAGGGAAAAATTATATCCATTTTTTTATTTTCAGCCATTTTAGTTAACATTGATTTGTCTATCTGACTCGCGAAATCCACTTTCCGTCAATAACAGTGGCACGTTTTAAAACCTCTGTCGATAGGATTCCTGTTTTAAGTTATTTCTGTTCAACATCAATACAGAAAACTCCCCTATGACTCCTGGTTCAAAAGCTCGCCTATTTTCAAAATGGCCACCATTTTTGTCTCGCGAAATTCACTTTTGACCCATTTCCTAGCTTTACAAATAATTTCAAGTGTCTTACATTGTAAAAATCCATGTCAATGTAAAGAGTAGATGTATGAAATAATTTTGTTACGAAAAATCAGCGAAAAATTATCGCCTATTTTCAAAATGGTCGCCATTCTTGTTCCGCGAAATTCACTTTTTGCCCATTTCCTAGCTTTACAAATAATTCCAGCTGTCCTGCATTGTAAAAAGCCGTGTCACTGTAAAGAGTAGTTGTATGAAATAATTTTGTTACAAAAAATCGGCAAAATATTATATCTGTTTTTTTATTTTCAGCCATTTTAGTTAACATTGATTTGTCCATCTGTCTCGCGAAATCCTCTTTTGAACCGTTTGCTTAAAACGTCTGTCGATAGGATTCCAGTTTCACATTATTTTTGTTCAACATCAATACAAAAAAACTCCCCTATGACTCCTGGTTCAAAAGCTTGCCCGATTTCAAAATGGTCGCCATTTTTGTCTCGCGAAATTCAATTTGGGCCTATTTCCTAGCTTTACAAATAATTTCAGGTGTCTTGCATTGCAAAAAGCCATGTCACTGTAAAGAGAAGTTGTATGAAATAATTTTGTTCCAAATAATTGGCAAAAAATTATATCCGTTTTTTTCTCAGCCATTTTACTTAACATCGATTTGTCCATCTGTCTCTCAGTCAGTCCAAAATAGTGGCCCGGGCTTGAAATAATTTTGTTACAAAAAATCAGCAAAAATTTATATCTGGTTTTTTCTGTCACCATGTGAGCCCAGTACCCACGGTACTAATTTTCTTTTAAGAGTATTTTGAGACAAACATGTTTTCAGTGATATTTCAAAATTGTATCATACCACATACAAATTTAATATATTTTTCCAGATACATGGGTCACACTCTGCTGATGAAGACAGGTCACCGACAAAGTCAGACACAAGCAGTTGATCTCACCTCAAGGACTGAAAATAATTCCAGTGTCTCCAGCTTTTCCCTCAAAAGGGTGCAAAATCAGGATGCTGTTTTGGTGTAAATATATGAATAATTCATACTTTTGATAAGGTGCAAAAATATTTTGGCATATTATTTTTGAATTTTGAATAAAAAGCAGCACCCTTGTTGCTCAAATGCTGGGGATCTATTTTGAAAAATTTTAAAAGTTATAAATGATAATGTGTACCTTGGAATCATCAAGACTTACAGTATTAAACTAAATTCAATAGCTTCTCTCTGTCAGTCTATGATAATAGCTATACCTCGAATATCATTAAACTTTTAACTTAGAATATTGAACCATGAGATGTCTTAGCTGTGTGAAAATAATATAATGTTAAATGTACAATATTGAAAGCCACAGCTAAATCAAGTATTGAATACTATTCAGTTGGAAATTTCTCAGGGACTTTTTGTCAATGTGATGCTTTAAGAATTGGATACTGGTAATATTATATTATTTGTGTACATTACAGGGTAGAATTTTATGGCTTACATCTTGGTTTCAAGGTAATGAATAAAAGGGTTGTTTAAAAAGTTTTACACAAAAGCTTCTCAAGAGAGGAGTTAAACCATTGCCATGGAAGCAATGCTAGATATTGTTTAGAATATAGTTATTGTTAAAGATTACTTTTTTTGTCTTTTTACATAAATTATATACACTATGTTGTCATCATCTTGGTTACCATACCAACCGTAAAATGTTAAGTAGTATCTTATATTCACAAAACTTTGACTGTGTAAGGGAATGGGGTGGGGACACCTGCCTACAAACTATGAACAAGATTGGTTAGTTAGTTGTATATGTAAGCTTGAAGAAAATGTAGAGTGTCACTCCACTTTTTGGTGATTTTGAAGTCATGTCTGCTCTCATAGTTCAATATCAACTTCTGTAGTAATTTGACAGTTTGACATCACACTCTAATTTGCCTCACTGACCTTTTGTTTCTCAAAACATATTTTCTCAAAATCAGGAAATTAGGGTTTAAATTTTGTAGGGTGTTCCAGTCACAAAAAATAATCTGAGTAAAGTAAGTGATATTTGTGCAGAACCTTTTGAATGACTCTAATATTTGGAATTTGATGCCCTACAGGTGCATTTGAACAACTTGTTAAGAAGATTATGATGTGAAATAATATACAAAATAAAGACAACACAAACAAATTACAATATTATCTTATTTTTATTCTTTCAGATTTTCAACGAAATGTACAATACAAATATTTCATATTGTAAAAAATTATTGTAGACACATGCATTTAAGAAAAATTCATTGTAAATGTGGAGATTTTAGACTTTATCTTTTTCTGATAATCAAAAATTAAGCAAATCCAATAGGGGCTGGTAAAAGGTATCAGTGTTTACTTTTAGCAATTTAAATTTTTAAACCCTCTCCCCCATTTGTTATAACTAATGGATTGTTAAAGTTACATTACTACCCCCTCAATTTCAAATGTTATTAAACCTGGCTCTTTACCCCTGCATGAACATAATTTGTTTTGGCTAAAATACACCGATATTTGACCTTGACCTTGTCCCTTGTTAGTGTTATAAAATGCATGCCTTCTCTGCCCAATTTCACAGCTAAGTCACATATAAGCAATGTTTTAGACATGGTTTAAACACCAAAGATGTAAAATTAAGTTTTATTTATGAATAAAATGAAAATGTTGACGAGTATGAAGTCAAAAGATACTATATAAAATAGAACATTATAATTGTATTATGCTCATGTAATTTATGGACACTTCATTTCATTTATATAACTCTGTTATGCCAAAGCCTAGAGTGGTAGGTAGGTACATATAATATGTGTCACAAGCAGACAAAAACAGTGCAAACTGTCATATAAAATTATTAATTTTCTTAAATTTAATAATTGAGTTTAATTATTTCATTAGAAGTTCTACTTATTGACCTAGTATGTTTTGTTATTTTTTCATATCATCAGATTCCAAACCAATTCAATCCATTGAGTTTAAAAACAGACCTTTCTGAAAAATCTTGATTTTTTGTTTTGCAAAAAACAATCTTGTAATATCCCAAGACATTTTCAATTTCAAAATAAGTTGATCCTAAATTTCTTGGAATTGGAAAGCTTGCTACACACAGCTTATGACATCACTGCATGAATCAAAAGGTGGCAGGATTTATAAGAAAGGTCTATTCTTTCATTTCATAATTAGCAACAGTATCGTATATGGTTTGTCACATTATGAAACAGCAAGCAAAACCCATAGAATAAAAGTGTAATTAAATCAAAACTAATTTAATTTTTATTTCATATGTCTGTAAATGTCCTAGCTTGATATTATGAGAAAACATCGTGACAATGTGCGTATCATACAGCTTTGAAATTTATAAGGTTAAGTAGTTCATTTTTTCTTTTAAAACATTGCATTTTTATTTTTGTCAAGAAACATGGAGTCCTTATAGTCCTATCAAAAAATAATAATTCATAAGCAGACCTGTGCATTATATTTAACATTACTAGTATTCATAACTTTTTGGGATCTCCAATTATTAAATGAATTTCTGTGTGCTCCATACTAATTTACATATATGCACTTCGTCTCTTGCTTTTACCCATATAAAACACTCCATTTTGTGTAAATCTGTGCAGATTATGCCACTGAAAATGTGAAAAAATGTGAATCTTGTGATAATCATGTTTTATATTGAAAATAAACACGTGGGAAGTCCAACAATCACTCTTGTAAAAATTGTGCAGAAACTTCAAAAACTTGCCATGCTTTTCATCATTCGGAATACAGAATTCCGATTTTACTAAGTTATCACCTGGAAGTTTCAGGTATCTATATAGAACTATCAAATTATCATATTTGTCTATTTCTGAAATATTCAATGAATATCTAATTTCTTGTCTATTTTCATACAGTTGAGACATACATATACTTATAATTTATCATAATTTTGTGTCAATTTTCTGATTCATGATCATTTCCATCATTCCATCATAGGTAAATGGCTCTTTAATAAGGTTGTTGACATGGTTGCCAGGTTACAGAGACTATAGCCCAATCAGGAACCAGCTTTTTCCATTCATTTTTTCACATTTTTGTCCATTGCCAAGAATACTTATAGAAGGCAATTGCCATGGGCAGTGCAGCAACCAATCACTGCCTAGGTACAACCCAGTGCTATAGATATAATGTACATGATGTACTGTTGTGACTAGTGCGCCCGTCTCCAAGGTCTAAGTCCATTTCAGGCTCTTGTATTGACATCTGACCTATAGATGAGGTTGCCATAGCGATATCAGGCATGATGTCACTTAGCACTCCATCGCTACAAGGGCTACTGGCATTATTCTGAAATATACAATAACGATATTTTAACTGTAAGAAGAAGAATAAAATGAGCAAGAATGAAAGTGGAAATTATACAATTACATGTATTTGGAAACAGTTTAATTTTTATGTTACTTTTCAAGTTACTTCAAAGTCAGGTTAATAAATGATGAGAGGACTAAAACTTCATTAATATTAAAAATTACTAATTAATTAAATTCCTTCATTATCTTTAATTAGATCACCTGAATACATACCTCATTTGGTATATATGGACTTGCCCCCGTCACTGGCGATGTCGGCAGAGACACGCTCCGTTTACTAGGTACAGGTGGCACTTTAGCAGGTCGAATACGATCTATTATTCTGGAATGTTCCGTATACTTATCATGCCTTGCTTTACAGGAATGCTGTTTTTGCGGTGATTTTGATCGAGAGTGTTTATACACGTGTCTTCCGTGATCAGCTTTTGAATCATGTGATTGTGACTCATAGTTTTTATTATTATGACTATACAAACATTTGCCATGGCGATACAAGACCTCGACTGTTGTATCGGGTAGGTTATATTCCCGGACGACCCGTAACTGGAGTTGGAGTGCCACCTGATGACGATCGCAACATGGGAAGGAGTAAGCTCTCTGAGCTAGTTTCGTGGCTTGGAGTTCCAGCTCCCTTGCCATCATAGACTTCAAAGTTTCCGGATCTGGTACTGAAAGTAAAAAATCCTCTACGTATGTATATATTTCTCAATTTTAACACATTTATAAATTACAATTATCCAAGCGAGCCAATAGAGCTTCCTCAAAATATCTTAAACCACCATTTGTAAATTCATTTATCTCCCACAATATTACCATAGTAATGCCTAGAGAGACAAATTAAATGTTTTCAATATTTGTATTAAACCTTCTTAATTATGGTTTTTGTTTTATGCTCTATGTGATCAGTCAAAAACTGAAAATATTATTAGAAAACTAAATACTTGTAATAATTTTACATGTGGAAAAGTTCAATACCTGGAATAGTTCCAGCAATGATATCCACAGTACAAACGGGTGAGTGGTGATTGGCTGAATGGTACGCAGCCCCTGATTGGCTGGAATACTTCTCTTCCAGCATATATAGCGTATCGGGAATATTTGACATATGGACAGTACGAAGGCGAACAACATCTTGCTCCTGGGCCTGCGATAACTGTTCATCTAAAATAGCCTGAAAAGTGAAACAAAAACGCGACATTCAAAAATGGAGGACAAAATACTGGAATGAGCAATAAATAGAGGCACATGGAATACTTGAATATATCATTAATAAATAAATAAATTATAGGATAATGTTTTGCATTTTAAGGTACAAACTTTCTATAATAGTGCCTTTGGAATCAGAGGGTGAAATCTCTTCTTAAATCCTAAAAATTTAATAGATGACTGATATTAATGTTTTTTTTAATTTTCTAAAACCAACCTTTCTCATTAAGAAAAAGGCATTTTTCAAGATTATGTTCAAGGATATTCTCCATATAAGGACCAACTATTGGTCTGCCGTCCAATGAGGATCCATACATACCTTCACTTCCTCATAGTAAGGCACAAAGAATCTTGGCTTTATGAACATTCCGCTGCTCTTCCCACGAATCCATGCACTCAATCTACTTCCACCAAAATCATCTCCGATCATATGTGATGGAGCCGTGCTTATCAATCCCCGCTTGATTGCGCTCAGAAGTGTCTCATGATTGGTTGGAAGGATATGATCGGTTCGAATATGAGGTAGAATTTCTAGTAAAATGTCTCGTAATTCGCCGTCGTTTAAATCTCGTTTTTTGATGCCTTTCTTACTGACACTATGTGCAGTATGACTAACTAAGTTGGGTTCTGGAAATACAAGTAAATTACAATTAAAATTCAAGTAAATATTGCCATTATAATGGTATTTCCTAAAATATCCATCTTCCTAAGCAGGTATCCAGAATCCGTACCTCCTTCTTCCTCCTGCTATAACCAATTTGGAAGCGCCCGATTAAACTGAATCACATGATCTAATTATGCGCAATGACTTATACATGATTTCTGTTGCAGTGTTGTGACAGCCAATCAGATTGCGAGTACTTAATCGGGGAAATGCTAACTGCTTATCGCAGGGGGTAAAAAGAAAGAATATATTCTCGATTTTGAAGCCCTGTGGTCGGAGGATGAAAAACATCATATAGGTTTATACTGTATACATCTTGAAGAGCGCCAGGAAATGATTTGATTACACTTTCTATTCGAAAATAAAGCTAAAATTGAATTGCATTGAGAAAGAAATACATGTACATACAAATTCAAGTACATAATGTGCATTTTTATTTTTGTATAACAATCTTTAATCATTAATATTTCATTTCATCACAAATCCTAAACGAACAGAGAAAACTATATGAATTATGTCATACACCATTCCTACATCAACAACAGTGAAATACATACCCCTTTCTTCCATACGTTTGATTAACTGATGTTCGCCCCATTTCAATACGGCGGTCAGTACATCCAGCTCCCCTGCCTGTAATGTAAAAATGGCAATGTCAAATTTTACTGCCCGCAATATGAAATAATAAAAATCTCAAATATTACACACAGAAAGTTACAAGGTAAAATGTCAAACAAGACTTCATTCTTTACAAGAGTACACACATATGTTTGTATATTTTTTCAAAATTATCATAGGTCTCAAAGGTACATTTAGTGTTATTATGAAAATATGAAAACATTATGAAAATGTTTATATTCTCAAGTCACGATATTGTGGCATTATGAAGTTAACATGAAAAAATACATTTAAAAGTACAACATTCTTGGGACATTTTCATAGCTTGCTTTCCATAGCAGGCAAATCTAAGTTCCCACCCTGTGATACTTAAACTTGAAATTATAGATAAACTTAAATTTAATGTGAAGAATAAAAGATGGCAAAGTTCTCAAGTGCCATATTTGGCTTATATTTTTAGTTTTATTTAAAAAACAGAAAATATCAGTTTTCTTGAAAAAACATGCATGTAAAATTCTTCAATGTCAAAACATTCCAATTTTCTTCTTAGGAATACAGTACAGACATTTTCGAATCTAGAATTTAGTAATGTGGAGTTAACTTGCATATAAATATGGAAAGTTATCATTCTGTCTTGTCTAATATCTCAAAAATCAACTTATCAAAATAGACATTTTCTTCACTCCATTACACAGAAATTTTGATTCAGTTAATGTTCTAAAAGGTTTCAGGAAGACTGACTTGATTGGCACATTAACTAAGTAAAGTTTTCTAAACGGACTGTTTTACGTTCAAAATGAGGCCATAAAACTGCAAACGCTCTAAATATTTACACAACTCTCAGAGGGAATGACTACATGATGCAACTGGAATAGCAATTGAAAGATAGTGCAGGTGTTTTGTGTACTTTAGGCTGATTCAACTCAAATAAAATGCCAAGAAAATCTAGAGGCTTTTTTAAGATACTGCAGGGATAAGTGTTGTAACTTAACTCGAACAAGAAATTTGTTGAAAGGTCAAAAAGCAGAGAAGGATATTTTGTAGCATTCCTTTTGCATCTTAGCCTTCTGAAGAATTAAAGCATCTTGCTTTTAATTTCCAAATCATATAAGAGTATATTCAGGAAAATGAGAATATTTCAGAGATTTCAAATTTAAAAGCAGAGGTCACCCCTCCCAATTTGATTGAGGCAGGGGGGGGGGGGGTGATTTCATTAGTATGTAGCAAAAAACATTTCAGTGAAATGTTGACATGCAAATTAACAAGCACTTTCTTAGTTGTATATGCATCTCACAATTATGCCACTAAATCTGGAGCATAACCTGTAAAACTGTTTTACCACTACTTTAAATAGTAAACAAAATGTTGACGGACCTGGAGGAAATCTGACTGGATAGCCTGTATGATGTAATTCTTATGCATCTCGCATAGTACTGGTGAGTGTGCAATAGGTATAAACTCCTCCCTCAGGTACTGTAACGCCTGCCTATGCACCCACTGTGAGCCATGGGGCTGAGAGCTCCAATGTAACACCCCTAGCAAGTTCTCTGTGCTCAGTGATTCTACTATAATGTCCTCACAGCCTGAATTAATAAATAATATATAGCATGAATTCATATATCATACACCATGGATTAATAAATAATATAGAGCATGAATTCATATATCATACACCATGGATTAATAAATATATACAATGTATTCATAATACACCATGGATTAATAAATAATATAACATGAATTTATAGATAATAATCATGGAATAAACCAATGAAATGAATATAAATTATCATATTGACACGTAAGTGAACTTTTACATGTAAACTTAAGGTCAAATGAATCAATAAATATCAAAATGAAAAATTATCAGATTATCATATTCAATGAACAAATGGAATTTTACATATAGACTTCAGATCAAAAAATCTACTGTACAGTTATATATCATAAATATTAAAAGTAATCATTCTGTAAAGGACAAATGGTAACCAAAAATAAAATAAACTAAAAGAAATTCAAGCCTTTAAGATGTATTTACAGACACTGAGATATTCAATAATCAACATTACTAAAAAGTATACTTATAGTAAAATAAAAATTAATAAAAATCATGAGCTCATGTAATAAACGCAAACCACTGAGTTTAATATTAATCTCAAACGATTTTTAATTTCTTAATTACCAAGCAATCATTAAAGTTTGAATATTCATATCACGTTTATTTCTTTTTAATTGTCATCTCGCTCATATATATCTTTTAAGTGTCATCGCAATATGGTTCATGTCGATATAAAGTAACACATGTATAAATTATTACCCCATAGGGAAGCTAGCCACAAGATATAGGGCATAGGGTGAAACCATCTTTAACTTTTCTTCATAGTAAAACCTGTCTAATCTGATTCCGAACGTCACTGGCACCAGCTAAAAGTGTTTGAGTTGGCAGGTGTTCACATTTCAATTTTTACCATGTGATCATCTTCGGCAAATTATCACATAGTGGGGTTTTCACATAAGAGAGGTATTCGGATATTCGAGTTTAACGATAGTTGATAAATTGAATTCAAGATATACAAAATCTTTAACATGATATTATAAACAGTAAACTGTGTTTTTTCAAAGGATTTTTTTGTCATCAAAGATTCCCAAAGATTGACAAAATAATTTCTACTGAAGTCTTATTACATGAATTCTCAACTGAGTAAAATATGTTTTTAAATTTTGAACTTACAATTTTTATTTGCTTATGGCATTGCGCATTGTTGTTTGAAGACACTTATGTAAATGCTCTTACATATTTCTATGGTTTATGGATCTTAGATTTTCTGCTTTTGTAGGAATACACATGGAGAAGCTTGTACTCAAATAACATATCAAGTGTATATCTACGAGGCAGCCTTCAGATATGAGACAGATAATTCAAATAACCCTAGTTGAACTTAACAGGGGGTGTAAAAGTCAAAACAACATTTCACATTTTCAATTTCATGGTTAACTTTTTTCTTGGACTTGTTAGATAAATTACAGATTTCATAAACTACATGTACAGTACTTGTGATTTAAAAACTACCACATAGAAAAAACAAAAAGAAATGCACTTGAATCATTCATGCCTTCAAAAATATAATATATTCATACTTCTGAGAATATGCACATAAAAATGATGTATAGCTACACATTTTGTGCAAGATTTGACATATTCAACAAACTAGCCATATGTTTTCGATAACACGCTGCGCAGCAGATCAAACTATTGCATGAAAAATTGTAGGAAATTGAGCATGTTGCCGATAATGAGACTTGGTATTTAGCAAAGTTGAAAGTAAAATGATTAATGTGTTACTAATAAGATAAATGATTTACTAAGATCTGAGACAGGCAAAAGCATCAAACAGCAATAAATTGGATGCAAAATGTTTCTAACCTTGTTTGCCCGAAGATATGTTAAAGAAATGTTTTTCTTCATGCAAGATATACAGGCTCGTACATGAGATAATAAATTACATAAGAGAAAAATATATACCTTGTGAGAGTATCGGAAAATCGATGAATTGGCCGATTTGGTAAATCTCCATTGCCTCATCAGTATGGGTCATGTGACCCTTCCCAGAAACCATTGCTTGAACCTCACTGAGACTACACGTGCTGGAACTTCCTCTGACAACACACGTTAAATCCACAGAATCTAAATATATAGCATGTAAGAGAACACGGGCATATTGTTTGGGAATAACAGACTCATCCAATACAATCCGAGTTGGAGCTTGTAGGGCTCGCTCATTGATTTCCTCACCAGAGCGCGCTCTGCGCATTAATAAATTCCGAAAAAATGGCGATCGGGCTGCAAGAATCGACTTATGACATCGAAGTTCATGTTTTGAGTTCGGACTTTCATTCGCAGTTTCTGGTGTCAAATAATCAGCATCGTTACTGAATACAAGTACAGCGTCACTATGATCGCTAGTCTCGAGCAAAGTCCGGAGATCAGTTTCGAGATAATTCAACGTCCCGAATTCCTCACTTAACTGAACAAGAAGATCCAAGCTATCAAGCTTCGTCACTCCTGACTGAATCTCCCCCGTGTACAAATACCGGAGGAGATCCGAGAACATGCCAACATCAATCCCGGGTGTCCTTATATGGATTGGTATTTCCGCTCCATATCCCGGGTACTGTGCAAGTAAATCTTTGAAATGAGAGCATCGGGCGGAGAGAATCGCCCGATGTACCGGGAAACATGCCCCTTGGTATATTAAATCTACATCCGTACAGTATTTATAATCATACAAATCTGATAAATCTTCCTTGTAAGTATTAGCCCTGGGTCTCGCCAGGTTGGCTTGAATAGTTAACTCCTTCAATAGAGCACTACTTTCATATTCCTCCACTAAAGCATGTAGTTCCCGAATACTCCAATTAGACGTAAACTCCCTGATTGTCTTTGCGTAATCAAAGTTCCGACTATGACGTCGAACTCGTATCAACTTTTTACGTAATGTTGCTAATTTCGATGACTTTTTCTTCCGCTCCTTTGGCACCGGTGGATCGGGTTCCCCCAAAATTGCATTTGCATAGCGTGACAATGTGGAACTCCTTGAATTAGAATAGGAGGCCCCCTTATCAGGTAAGGATGTGTTTGCCCCCATAATTAAAGTATCCTTCGTTAAACGGTCACATATTGTGCACGAGCAGTCCCAACTTTAACGTCCTGAAAATACACAGGAAGAATAATTAAATTACTGATTCACTGATAATTCATGTAGGTAAATGGATACAATAAAATAATGCATGTAATATTTAAGTAGAATAACTTTCATAAGATTCATTTATTTTCATACTCTTTCTTTTTCACAAAAAGGTATTTATGCTGTTTCTGAAAATGAGGCCATAGAATGCCCAGCATTTGATGCCTAAAATTTTACAAAATGTCCATCCATACATCCACCAGTCCACTTTGAATAAGAGGCACTTATATCTTCTATTTCATAACATATACTAAACTATTCTTCTTCAGCTACATTATGTTATGCTGAGCAATGCACTGTTGATAAAGCCTATGGTCCTCATTCATATGTTTCTAATATTAACTAAACTAACTTACATCTGCCTAAAGCAGTATATACATGTACTTTATAACCCCTGTTTCATATGGCTATTCTGATATTCATTCAACTATATTATCAATCTATCAGAGTTCATAATTATAACAAATATTACCAGAATCTTGCTACATTCCAATACTATATCCCAATAATACTGCATGATAAATCACTCCCTTGATGCCAATTTGCCAGAAATTATTCATCCCATCTACGAATATTAGCTCTCTTGGGTATAGGGTTATTATATATTGGAAGATATTACAAGGCTTCCGCTGAGATAATTAACATGGTGGTCATATTTTGAATTGAAAAATCAAAGAAATGAGTGGAATAAGCAAGGAATAAAGTATATAGGCATGTAGTTAATACTCTACATTGTGTAGAACTGCAAGAAAATCAGGCCGTTTATTCAAATTTTAGAGAGAAAAGGAGTGCAAAAGGCGTGCCCAGAGAGAAATTTTCGCCATGGCTACTTTTAGTGTTAGGGTATAACACAAGCAATAAAAGCAATTTATCTAAGATGTTTCAAAATATAATGTCTCCATATGGGCCTCTTTTACAATATGGGGCTCTTCAAGAATTATGGGCCTCTTTAAGAGGTATGGGTCTCTTTATTAGAACAATTTCACATTTATTGAATTGTTATGGTAATATGAACATTTAATTTTGCTTAGAACTCCTTCAGATAGAGCAAAATAATGACTAGGAGGAATTTCTTTTAGACTAATAACTTCCTAAGGTTAGCTATTTCTAAAAGCATACTTGGCTCAAATATGGTCTCACAAAATAAACACATCATTTTCTCATTTTGTGCATGTTCAGAATTTCTAAAATGTTAGTATCGAAATGCAACTTTCCTCTTTTCCGCGGATGAGAATTTCAGATCCTATTGAATTTCTTCACGAGAACATGATTTCTATGACAGCATGTGAAGATGTATCAGAACAGGAACATAAGCAGGTACATAAACTGATAAGACCTTTGGAGCCAGATTTGAGAAAATTATCAGAGAAGACATACCTAATCAAGCTTTCTCTTTAAAATTTGGAGAACTGTCTGGCATATTATAATTCAAAGTGTCAAATACTAGTACATGATACAATGAAACCTGTATATCTGAACACCTCCCTAATCCAAACATCTCTCAAAGTGAACAGTTTTCTAGGTCCCAAATTTGTTTTCTCCTATTGATAAAACCTTAAGTTGATAAAACCTGCTATTTGGAACATTTTTTGGCTGGTCCCAGAGATGTTCAGATAAGACAAGTTTTACTGTAGTTTACTTTATTCCTTGTTGATTTCACTCTATTGGTTCTTATTCTCTAAAAATGACCTTTGCAATAAGCAAATGGGACTGGCAAGGAAAATCAGGAGATTTCCATATATAATTATAATCGACAACAGAAGTAGAAACCTATTATAACGATGTTTAAGAATGAACTACTATAAATTGGAAGGGGTTCAAATCCTAATAACACCACAGCTAAGTATTTGGAATGTGTTCCAAGAATCAAATTAGAAGATAGATTTTGGATCATTTTTCTCATTAACGTACTATGACTCACTTTTTGTAAAATTTGGATAGAACATACCACATATTATGTAGAATGATTTATATGATTTAAAAGACATTCAAAGCTCTAAAATAAGTGAAGAGAGGCCTTCATAGAATGAAAAAATCAGGTAAAACGTGTCACAGAGAGTTAATGCATGACCACATCATCCACCCACAATCCCAAACAACATGGCATGTAAGTAACAAGAAACCGATCTTGAAAAATAGCTTCCAATTATTAACAGGGGTTCCATAGCTGCAGGCAACAAGCGATTTTCTAAACTAACCTTTACCAATTACACCCATTGTTTTATAGAATTTGTCAACTATAGGTTCAAATTATAATTTCGAAAGGATTGCCTATTGTTTCATTCATTTTGCCTATTGCTAGAAATTCCAATGAAACCCAGCGAACAGAATATAACAGAATTAATAATTTCCTTCAGAAACAGAAACTAAGGCAAAGAATAACATCATGCAAAGAAAAAAGAAAACAGACACTATGACAACATAATAGTTTATAATACACCCTATGCAGACAGAGCCTGTGGGAAATATTGGGTGCGGCGCAAATGAGCGGAGGGTGCGGAGCTAACGGTCATTTTTGAATTTAAAATTGGGATATTTCTGAAACTAAGCCGTTTTGGGACTTCAAATATACCAAGATATGTGTATTTGACACCAAATATCAATAAAATTGTGAAAATAGTAGTGCAATTCATTTTATAGCGACGCAGTATGCCTTAAACATTTCCCAGACCTATATATTTTGAGACTATCCTTTTAATACTGCGTCCCCAGCATTCATAAAAAATGGTGTTCAAGATACACTACCCATGCAAATTATTTTTGCATCTTGGAAGCCAGGCAGTATCTGTGTGATTTTATAAAAATTCGGAAATGTTCTTCAGATATGAGCCCCTCTAAATATTGGGTGCGGAGCTACGTTTATGGAGCTGCTCCGCACCCAATATTTAGAGGGGCTCATATCTGAAGAACATTTCCGAATTTTTATAAAATCACACAGATACTGCCTGGCTTCCAAGATGCAAAAATAATTTGTATAGATAGTGCACCTTGAACACCATTTTTTATGAATGCTGGGGACTCAGTATTAAAAGGATAATTTCAAAATATATAGGTCTGGGAAAGGTTTAAGGCACACTGCGTCGCTATAGAATGAATTGCGCTACTATTTTCACAATTGTATTGATATTTGGTGTCAAATACACATATCTTGGTATATTTGAAGTCCCAAAACGGCTTAGTTTCAGAAATATCCCAAATTTAAATTCAAAAATAACCGTTAGCTCCGCACCCTCCGCTCATTTGCTCCGCACCCAATATTTCCCACAGGCTCTGTCTGCATAGGGTGTAATAGTAATACTGTAGTAATTTTGAGAAGAAACCCAAGTACCGTATTCTCTGTAATTAGCGCCCAGGGCGTTTAGAAAATTGAAAATACATTATTTAGACCATTCTAATAAGCGCCCATGTATGAAAGAAATCAGAAATCCCGAGGAATTTCATGTATGGCAATTTTTCTTGACAAGAATGCATTTTCTTCAACATATTTTTATAATAATATGACAAGTGCTGTTATTGGAGAGAATACGGTAAAGATCGCTTAGACAATATTGACAGTGGTTGAAGACCCGTCTATGTCTAATTTATTTCCGGCACGCCCACTTTGTCATTATCGCCGATTACCTTCAATATTTCCACTAGAGACAGCTGGATATCGATCTAAAGTTATACATTATTTCTAATTTGATGAGAGATCATCATTATTCGTGCAAAAGTCGTGTAAAAGTCGAGAAACATTAAAAAGAAACCAGAAAGTTCACGACCTTGACATGCGCAGAACATCTGCGCAGTAGCTTTTGAAATTTCTGAATGCCGATAAAGAACAATTCCTTCATTCATTATGGATTATTATGATTCCTCGATGTTTCTTGAACTTTGTGAAGCGGGGTGGGCGCTTATTAGAGAGTGGGCGGTAATTACAGAGAATACGGTACTTAGATTTTATAATGAGCTAAAAAGGCTGATTACTTAATAAGGAGAACATGCTTATTATATATGTTTTTTTGTAAAAGTTCAAAGCTACCCTGTATTCCAACCACTCAGCCATACTCCCCTCTGACTTTTGCAGATAAATTTACAGTTTTAATGCTGGTAAGATCTTAATCTCAAATGGAGCCTTCTTTAACCTTGTATGATTACTTTGATTACTAGCTACATGCAGGTAGTAAATATGGTGTCATGATTTTTAAAATTATAGTCTAATTTGACACAAGGTATTAGCATGCAAAATGTCACCACCTGCCATTTGATGTAAACACTGAATGCCAATCACCAAACATCAAATACCAACCACTGAATACCAAATATAAAAAAAAAACATTCCACAAAAATTTGTGATATGTTACAACTTCTGGTAATGGTTACGTAATAAATTAGATCAAAGAACTCTTTGTGAAGAGTGTGAAAGTCAAATTCTACCAAAGGGTAGAGCAAACCTCAAGTTATCTTCATAAGGCAAGATAGTAGTATGCCATAAGATAAATGACATGCTGGTCATGTTTTGGGATGAGAAATACAGTACAAAAGAGAGGAATCAGCAAGGAAAAAAGTATACATACATGAACCCATTTCTTGAAAGTGTACAGAAATGTAAAATAATCACATAGTTTATTCAAATTTGTAAGAGAAAATCATATAAAAAGGCTCAACTACTTTGGCTGTTTTCGCAAGGGTAACATTTCAAAGTTGCTATGATACACAGGAAGTTCACAGTGAAATAATGACATAAAACTCAGTTACTGCATGATAATCACACTACATATCTTCAAGTGGATTTTCAACAGATTTTCTCTATTCTTAGATAAACAATACCCTTAAGAAAAAAGCCATGGTAACCATGGTATTCCATGGTGCGCCCATGGTAATCCATGGTTTTCCATGGAAATTCATGGTTTTCCATGTTATTTTCCATGGAAATTCATGGACGCCCATGGTAATCTTCCATGGATATTTACCATGATTTTCCGTGGTAA